ATATATACACACACACACATACACACATATATATATATATATATATATATATATATATATATAATTGGCCTGATAATAGAAATAAAATAATAATGTAATCATAATAGCTAATAATAATAAAATGTATACATTTGCAACATTTAAAACACACTTGACAACTTTTGTCCCTACTAGTTACTGAGGTACAGCCACAGTGACAACTTGCCCCGGTGTAAGGGACATAGTCTCTCCTCGTGAATGTGAATGAAGGGAGGAAGGCAGCGCTAAATGAAATATTGATGCGAGGTTAATTGTAAATGCTCGTGAATGTGGTGAGCTCGGCAGTGTCGACTGTCAAGAGTTTGGGCGCTGAACGGGACCTGTGCGTCGCGAGGCGAGCGCGTGCGGCGCTCTGATAACACAATCTGCAGCCTGTCGACATCAAACTTCACTCACGCTCGCGTGCATCCCACATACGCCCAAAGTACGTACATAGGGTTCCTGTTTACAAGCCAAACCCAAGGAAAACTTACACTGGTGATGTCAACATCATGGCACGATTTAAAGCGCAAAGAGGAGATTGGTGACAGCTTCACACTGCTGATTATAATAGAGTGATACTGGGAGTGCACTCGCGATGGAGCCGCGCGCCGCCAAAAAAGAACTGCATCAGAGGTAAGAGCATTTACACTCTCACAGGTGAACACCGGTCTTAGTATGCAGGTATCTCTTCATATATGTAGTTCGTTTTTATTAAGTTATTTTTGTTAGACTACTCGAGTAGCCGTTTTCTGTCTTCTGTGTAGTTATTTTTAGCAAGTGTCTTCATTCAGTATTCTTTATAATATCAGTCTCAGTCATGGGATGTGTTTTTGGAGGGAATTAAGCCTCTGTTTATCACAATGGCATTTCATATCGATTGATAAGACAATTAGATGATAATAGCTCCACTGACATACTTTAGGTTTCTTGCCTCAGAATGACTTCAAGCATCACATGCTTTCACATTCACCTGGACCAATGTCCCAGATATTAATATCTAAACAAAATGTAACTTTTTTTCAAACAATAATCACCATGAATCATTCATAAAACAATAACTGCTTAATTTGAAAGGAATGTATTTATTTGAAGTCGTTACACTGTAAGTACAGAAGTAAGGCTACTGATCAATATTAATCAACAGCATGTGGTCACACTTTATTTTAAAGTCCAATTCTCGCTATTAACAAACCATTAACTACGACTCAGTAAACTACTAAGCTGCTGCTTATTATTAGTAAGGTAGTTGTTAAGGGGATGTAGAATATGGTCATGGTCATGTGATTAATAAGTGCTAATAAACAGACAATATGTTATTAATAGGTATGCTAATAAGCAACTAGTTAATATAGTGAGAATTGGTCCCTATACTAAAGTGTTACCCAGCATGGGGTTAGGGTTCGGTTTAGGGTTGGTTGATTGTAATTACGTATAATTTACTCATACTGTTACGCATGTAACATATAACAAGGACAATGTAAGATAAAGTGTTATTCATTTACTTATTTATTCATTAATTGAGTTAGCTGGTCCTGTTTGTTTGATTATGCTCTTATCTATTTAAAGATAAAAGACTGATTGTTCCTGCTCTTTTTGAATAGTTTGAATCGTTAGTCGTAGATGACCAGTCACACATCTCTTTTAGATAATTAACTGTGTTTGGCCATCATCAAGGCCTTGGACATAGACTCACTTAATAGATCACCCAAAATTATTATTATTATTTTTTTCCTTATCCTCATTTCGTTTCCAAATCTGTATGACTTTAGTTCTTCTGTGGAACACTAATGAATAAGTAAATGTAATTTTCATTTCTGAATGATTTATCAATGAAATTATGTTTGTCAACAAAACATAAAATACTATGACAAGAAAGTTGCATATGATGTTGCAAACACATGACTAATGACACAACCGGCCTTACACCTTCAGCTGAACCCTATGAGTCACCATAACAAATTAATTGTTGAGAGATGATAAGACTTCAAAAACAATATTCATAAGTCAACTATATTTCTTTTTCAATAAATTTCAAATATTCAATTAGTATCAATAAATGTATATATATATATGTGTGTGTGTGTGTGTGTGTGTGTGTGTGGACACTTAATATGTCAAATTAATTATTATCCTTGAGGATTTTATATATACCCCAATACTTGACACACAAACCTTAATGGTGACAATCAATAAATGTAAAATGTGTCTTACCAAAAGTGTCTTAATATCACAAGACAACAAATTTGTTCAGACAACTGTTTAACCAGTTGGGACAACATTTGGAGGAATTCTATTAGTCTAACACAAACTTTCAAGAAATGCACATTTCTTAGTGTTTGAGACTCAAAAGGTCTCGTAAACTGACAAACATGTAGTTGATTTTTTTTTTTTTTTTACAGTTCTCGTAAAATATTTCAAGCTTAATTCTTTCTCATATTCAGCATAAATTGTTTTGGTACATTTAAAATATCTTTGGATTCAATCAAATTGCATTGTCTTACTATTTTTAGATTTCTTAGTCAGTACTTTCCACCGTAAATATAAAAACGTGACTGGCGAAACTGCCAAGAAGAGAGTGTCAGTTGGCTGTTCCTTTACTCTACGTCTTTTAAGCGGCAGTTACCTCAAACCAGCTGGACTGATATCATATGTGAGGGACCTGATAAGAACAGACCTAAACTGTGCCGACTTGATACATAGGACCGTGCGATAAGCACTGCACATGTTGAATACAAACACTTAGGCTTACGTTTTGGTGATCAGCTGATATAGCATGGCAATAACAACACTGAGGTTGTGGGTTTGATTATAACTCAAATGCAGTGTAAGTTACTGTGGATAAAAGCAAATCAATAACTGTGAGAAAGGCTGACATACCCATCAAAGTAACAAAAACATCCTCCTGTCTTTCCCTTCAGGGTGTTTGTGAACCGGAGTTTGACGCTTGAAAACATCAAGTGCTATGGCTTCGACATGGATTACACTCTGGCAGGTGAGAGCGTTTATAGCGCCATTGGGAAAAGCTGTCAGACTATGTGTGAAGTGCTTCGTTCACATCCACTCTCTTGTTTTGAACAGTGTATAAGTCTCCAGAGTACGAGAGTCTGGGCTTTGAGCTGCTCAGGGACAGGCTGGTGTCAATTGGATACCCACACGAGCTGCTGGGCTACACGTACGACCCCACCTTCCCCACGCGGTAAGTGTCGCTCCCTTAATGGCTCTGGATTAGGCTATATCGGGTCTGTGAGCTCATGGTTAAGGCTTTTGAGGCTTGCTGTGTGTGTCCGCACAACATTGACAATGTTTACATGCACATTGTTTCCGGTTAAAGAGACAGTTCACCCAAAAATGAAAATTGTGTCTGTCAAGTTATTCCAAACCTGTGTGAGTTTCTTTCTTCTGTTGAGCATAAAAGAAGACATCTTGAAGAATGTGGGTAATCATACTGTTGACGGTAGCCATTGAGTTTCATAATATGTAAAAAAAACGATGCAAGTCATGGGCTACCGTCAAATGTTTGGTCACCGACATTCTTCAAAATACATTATTTTGTGCTCGACAGAATAAAGAAACTCATACAGGTTTGAAACAAGTGGAGGGTGAGTAAATCATGACAGTTTTAATTTTGGCCACTAGAGGTATGTTGCATCACAAAACACTGTGATTTTATTGAATTCAACGACAATGGTGCGTCACAAGAGGCAAAAATTGATATATAAACAACAGTAAAAGAAAGTATAGAATAATGCAATGAATTCCAAAATGTAGGTCATGGGAATCTTTTATTCCTTCAGAAAAAAAGGTACAAAACTTTCGAAAGGTACTAATAAGTATACTTTAAGTACTAATATGTACTTTTAAAGTATGTATATGTACCTTTAAGGTACTAATATGTACTGCTTAGGGGTAAATATGGTAAATGTAGATGTATCTTTTGGCTTTTGTACCTTACGGTAATGCTACCGTAACAGGAATGTATTGATTTATGTTCAGTTGCTTTTAAGTCAATATGAACTATTATATCTTAAAATCCAATCACTTCTATCAGGAATTGATTGGGTTTTTGGAAAATAAGCATGTGTTGGGAGGTACACAGAAGGGAGGGATTTGTGAAATAAAGTTGTATTAGAAATGGAGAAAGTTTTTTAAATTTTGATAAAACTATGAACTCGAGGATTTTTAAAATGGAATAATGTGCAGTTATGAACTAGAAATGTGTATTAAGAAGTTAAAGGATTCATTTTGATTTATGTTGACTATTATTTGGACAGAAGTTTATTTCTTTTGTCTGGTCCTTCAAAAGACACATTAACACATTTTCCATGATACACTAATGTCCAAAAATGTATTTAAAAGAAGTCTGTTATGCTCACTAAGGCAGCATTAATAAAAAATACAGTAAATGAAAATTAAATCATGAATTATGTAAAACATATTGTGAAATATCACAATTTAAAATAACAGTGAACTATTTTAATATATTTTAAAATAAAATTTATTTCTGTGATGCAAAGCTGAATTTTCAGCATCATTCCTCCAGTCTTCAGTGTCACATGATCCTTCAGAAATCATTCTAATATGCTGGTTTGCTGCTCAAGAAACATTTATTATTATTATCAATGTTGAAAACAGTTGTGCTGCTAAATATTTTTCAGGATACTTTGATGAATAGAAAGGTCAAAAGAGCAACATTTAATTGAAATGGTACTGTTATGTTTACTGTTATGTTTGATCAATTATAGCATCCTTGCTGAATAAAAGTATAAATTAAAAAAAGAAAATTCTGATCCCAAACTTTTGAACGGTAGTACACATCATCACATAATTCCAATATGAACTGATTTCTTTAGTATAAGACAGTAGTCCTTAAGTCCACTTCATTTTCATTTGGAAATCAGTCCGTTTGTAGTTGCTTTTTTAGTCTATTATAAACCATTCATGAGAGACTTTGTGGGCAACCATACAAATAGAAACGTCCTGCGTTACACCAGTCTCAAGGGTCTCATAAAGCAGAAGGTCGCTTGAGGTCATCATTAAAAACAGGCTGAATACCAAACACAGACTGTCTGCTCAATGATACTGCTGGGGGAAAATATAAATATGAATGAACTCTTGTTTTAACTCCTTAGAGGGCCATATTTTGCTATAAATTATTCACTGAATGCTCCCAGATGCTGGTTCTTTCAAACGTTCTCTCTTTCTCCTCTTCTCTCCAGAGGTCTGGTGTACGATACCACGTATGGGAACCTGTTGAAAATAGACTCCAATGGAAACATCCTGGTGTGCACTCACGGCTTTGAGTACCTGAGAGGGTGAGTGAGGGTCAGCGGTGTATTGAGTGAGAGTTTGCTCTCAAATGCCCCCTCAATCTTTCTCTGACAACAGAAGATTTCACCAAAGTAGAGTGCTGTGTGGGACAAAACATTAAAGAGAGCCAGGTTGAAAGGCAATAAACCCAGTGTGAAGAAGCAGCAGCAGGGTCAAGAGCTGTTACAAACAGATCAAGAGAGACTAGCACAGCAGAGCGAGGCATTTAGTCTTTAATATCGCAAGTTAATGCACTCAAGGTCTTATTATTGCAATTATTATAGCAATAGTTAGCCTAAACTTAATATCTTAATCACTCTGATTCATGAACAAATCATTCAGACCAGTTTTGTGAACCAGATAAAAATGAATCAGTGATTTTTTAAAATCATAACAATACAAGCTTACAAGATGAGCTCACAAAGCCATAATTCGAAACAAGTTTTTTTTGGATGTGTTGACTCATTTGCAAACAAAGAGGGAAACACCTAGACACATTTGTGTGTGTCCGATTAGGATGTGGGTTTGTGAAAAGCTGGTTTGACACCATTTTTGCAACAATTAAATGTTCAGAAGTTGAGAAGAGCTGGTACTGTATATATATATTACAGAATGTTTATATATATTATACATGAACACTGAACATTATATAAACATTAAAATTAACATCAAACTTAGTGTCAGTAAGTTTATTTTATTAATTTTTTTATACATTTTATTTATCAAGGATACATTAATAACATTTTAACATTACAAAATATTTTATGAAGGATCTATTTCAAATAAATGCTGTTCTTTTCTACTTTCTATTCATACAAGAATCTAGGGAAAATAATGTATCTTGGTTTTCAAAAAATATGAAGCAACGGAACTGTTTTCAACATTGATAATAATAAGAAATGTTTCTTGAGCATCAAATCAGTATATTATAATGATTTCGGAAGGATTACGTGACTGAAGACTGGAATAATGATGCTGAAAATTCAGCTTTTACATCACAGGAAAAAATTACATTTTGAAATATATTCAAATAGAGAATAGATATTTTAATCTGTAATAATATTTCACAATATAAATATTTAAAAAAAAAACACACTTAAACTGTTAAATGGTAGTGTATATATATAATAAAATATATCTTATATATAATAAAACATTTAATTTGACCTCCTGAGGTGGATGAACAACAGGATTAAGAAGAAAAAGTCTCGTCCACTCTTTTTGTGGAAAATGTCTTGTCTGAGACCCAACCACCCAACCATGATGAACTCATATTAGTAGTGTATTTATATCCAACACCTGCCATAGAAGAGAGTTATGGAGAGTAGATTTTGTTGTTGAATTCCTATGGGCTTCTCAGACTGATGAAAGATGTTGAGGACAGGTATAACTGGACCATTCACTTATGCTTTACACCTACATATTTCAGTATTTGAGTTCTGGCACTTCTTTTAAAGGTGCTGTATGTAGGATTGACACCGAGTGGTTGTACTAGGTATTGCAGTCCAAATTCAAAATATTGGAGAGGGTTTTTTTTCACCAGGCCCCTCCTCCTCAGACTTGAGGCACAAGCAGGTTGCCAGATTGACGACACCAACAGGAACGAGTGCAATTGACGATGAATAAAATGAAATACGCTGTGTTTTCCACCAACTGGCAACCCGGGGTGCCGAAATACAATTGGGTAAACTGGAAGTGGGCGGGTTTCACAAACCAAAACAGAGACTGACATTCCGGCCCGGAACGCACATTTTCAAAGGAGAATAACTGACTGTAGAATTGTTCTTCAGATAAACATGTTAACTTAGCATGTTTCTTAAATATCTGCAAACATATTATGGTATTTTTATGCTTTAGTAGAGTCAAAAACTTACATACAGCACCTTTAAAATACACAACCATATTTACACGTTCATATTCCCACAGATTTAAGAACAGTAGCGGCATCAGGACAAAAAAATAATTATTGTTTTTATTATTATTCTCACACTTGATGACAAACAGAGCATGGATCAGCACTTTGAGTGTCCTCATGTATAAGACAGCATAATAAAGGGTGTTTCATTAGACGCCACCCGACATGGGGTATTGTGGGCACGGTTTTATTTAGCAAGGGATCAGTTGTTTGAGAACAGTAGTTGTTAGCGCTCTCTCAACACCAGCTGCTGTGACATATTAGCTGGACAGCTCAGTGACAAACTGTTATTGTTCTGTCACAAGCTTTCCGACATGTTTCAAAATGCTTTTATATATATATATATATATATATGGTGTGTCGGGAAGCTTATTTACCTGCTGTTATTCTCATTAACATGTGTCTGTTTACAGTGGACAGGTCGATGAGTATTATCCAAACAAGTTCATCCAGAGAGACGACACTGACCGCTTTTACGTCCTCAACACGCTCTTCAACCTATCAGGTACAGTGGCACATTTACATGGACGTGTGAAAGGATAATTGATTTTGTTAACAAGATTTGTCCCTCTCCTTTTCTCAGAGACGTATCTTTATGTGTGCCTGGTTGACTTCTTCACCAAAAACACCAGATATAAAAAGTGAGTCAATTATTCTTTATAATTGCAAGATTTATGGATCTTTTACAGCTTCACTGTCTCTCAGTCATGTGAATGATATTCATAATTAACAATGTTTGCTAAAGCAAGCATCACTGTCAATCTTGCTTATGCTTACAGCTAGGGATATCAATAAACCTTTATAATTTCAGAAGGTTCACACGGCACACATTAAAACCCAGAACACATTAGCAACCAGAAAACAAAGCATTAGCAAGCCAAAAATCATGAATATATATATAAAAAAATGATTAAATATGCAAATCTCTTAAAATAATATCTTATTAACACTGTAAAGCCTGACATATGAAATAATAGTCACATACTGTATGTATATATATATATATATATATATATATATATATATATATATATAGTTTTTTAAACCTTCAGACTGTATATATATATATATATATATGTGTATATATATATATATATATATATAGTTTTTTAAACCTTCAGACAACTTAATGTTTTAAAAAAGTTTCATGTGTTTTTGTTGAGTATCATATTTGATACATCAGGCTTTTATGGCTCATATAATGTGATATAAGAGAATATGGAGCTCATAATGAGGAAAAACACTTAAATGTTATTTAGAGGCACAAACTGAGCAAAAATATGCAATTTGGTGCAGATGTTGTTATTTATATGGGCAAAAGGTATGATGAAATTCTAGCTTGTAAAGTAAATCATATCTTTATTGCAGTATAGCAGACTGCTTACATAAAATGCTTCTAAATATCAGTTCTCACACCGTTTATCCCAATAATATGCATTAGTAAGATGATATTTAATTGCTTAGCTTTAAGATAAAATCTCTGTAAGTTTTATTGCTAAATGTAGTGCAGTGCAATACAATGATGATTGGGAGATGAACAAATAAACGTTCCTCAAAAGCCTGATATATGACCGTTCTCTGTAGGTCCCACCTTCTCGTGTGCCACGATTGGTCAATTATGTACAAGGCCTGCATGTTACTGGTCAAACTACTTTTAGATCATTACCTTCAGCAAGTATAAAAACAGGAAAACAATGGCAAAACCTGGATATTTTAGGCAATATATAAATCCTGGCCAGAACGTGTCCCATAAAAATGGCACATATGGTCACCCTATAAAAAAGTGTAACTTATCAATCAGATGACAGGAGGTATATAATAGATTATGAACAACAGTTTTTTTTTCAGCCAAATTTTGATCATGCTGAGTCCTAGCAAAAAACTGCTATCCCTGATGGGTTTCTTTGGAAACTTAAAATATGCCCAGTAAGTGTCTACAATCTTTCTCTCCCATTTAGTTGCCAGAAAGGGTTCAAACACGGTGACTTGTTAATGTCACACAGAAGCATGTTTCAGGACGTGAGGGATGCCATGGATCACCTTCACGACACGGTAACCATTTTTATATTGACTAAATGTATGATTTTACTTACTCACCCTCTTGTGAAAGAATTTACTTACAAAGTTAGTTCCAATTAAAATATGACTTTAAAGGTAGGGTAGGTGATTTTGTAGAGGCTAGCAATAGCAAGCTAGCTTTGAAAGCATAAGATCCCACCCTCCGTGCAAATCACTCTCCAAAAGCCACGCCTCCAAAACACATGACCGCACACAAGCAGAGCAGAGGCTAACCAGAACATCACAGTACAAAGCACATAATATGTGACCCTGGACCACAAAACCAGTCTTAAGTAGCACGGGTATATTTGTAGCAACAGCCAACCATTGTATGAGTCAAAATTATAGATTTTTCTTTGATGCCAAAAATCATTAGGATATTAAGTAAAGATCATGTTTCATGAAGATATTTTGTAAATCTCCTACCGTAAATATATCAAAACTTAATTTTTGATTAGTAATATGCATTGCTAAGAACTTCATTTGGACAACTTTAAAGGCGATTTTCTCAATATTTGGATTTTTTGCACCCTCAGATTTTGAAATAGTTGTATCTCGGCCAAATATTGTCCTATCCTAACAAACCATACATCAGCGGAAAGCTTATTTATTCAGATGATCTGTTTCAAAAACTTGACCTTTATGACTGGTTTTGTGGTCCAGGGTAACATATTAACGACTTCCATTCTCGCTCGGTCTTCAATAGTATAACGGAACACGCTGATGACGTATTTCTGCGCGAACAGTGTTCACAGAGGTATGCAAATACATACGTTGACAGGCAGGTAGGACAGCCTATTGTAGCCTTCGGACTGAGGGATTTGATTGGATGAACATTTTATGGTCCTATGTCCACCACAGATGATATAAATACATAGAAATACATTTAGACCACTTAACATATTGATTGTTATCGGGATGTGAAGACAACCAGCATAACATAAAAAAAAATGTTTTTGAACCAAATCACCTACCCTGCCTTTAAGAGCAAAATATAATCATTCCATACGATGTGAGTGTTTCACACTAGTGTTTTTAACCAGTCATTGTTGTTTTTGTCCTATAGGGCACTCTGAAGGAAAGAACACTGAAGAACCTGGACAAGTATGTGATCAAAGATGTAAGTGGTAATTATATAGATACTGTATATATCTTTTCTCAAATCGCCTGAGAGAAAATCCTGTATGTTAATAATTATTATTGCTATGTGATTATAGGTATTTGTATGTGGCAAAAGACTCTATATCTTTTCTCAAATCGCCTGAGAGAAAATCCTGTATGTTAATCATTATTATTGCTATGTGATTATAGGTATTTGTATGTGGCAAAAGACTGATTCATATACGTATCATTTTATCTAGCCACGTCTTCCTGTGTTACTGATCCGCATCAAAGAAGTCGCCAAAATGTTTCTGGCCACCAACAGCGACTTCAATTACACCGAGGTAAGGAGAGCGCCAGACCCCTAGAAATAATTTAAACTGCCACTGACAGGCTGCATATCATTGCACGCTATCATTAATATTCAGAATTGCATTTTAATGACACTGTATTATATCTTTTCTCAAATTAGGCTATTATGAAATACTTACTGGATTTTCCGACTGGCTCTAAGGTGAGCAGCATGACCACTCTATAACTGACACAAAAACCAGTGTTTAGTGTTGACTGCTTATGACTCTTCTTGATCACACACATAAAGATATTCAGACTCTGAAATGACTCGTGTTGTCTAGAACCCCAAGAAACCGTGGCGCTCGTACTTTGATCTGGTGGTGGTGGACACGAGGAAGCCCATGTTCTTCGCAGGGGGGACAGTGTTACGACAAGTAGACACGGTGAGTTCATGTTGTGCACTGCTACCTATATACACAGAAAAAGCTTATTATTCAGCATTTCAGCACAAATAAAGCATTTATTCAGATTTTTGATAATTTTTTATGTAAAAAAGCTATTATACATGATTATTTAATAGCAGAGAGAATATGAATCTGAAGCCTGTCAAGAACATATCTAGACCCCAAAACCAGAAAAATGAAAACATTTACAAACATTACATTTTCGATAAAGTCCATTTCCCCCATTTCTCTTTGCAATGAATTGAAGTGTTTTGTTCTCTATAACATAAATCCTACCATTAGGTTACAAATATTATTACCTAATATTATTACAAATATATTTTTTAAATATGCTGATTATAATTAAATTGTGTTCATCAAGAAAAGATATGTCATAATAATGGTCTAAATATTATCAATTCTTATATTATGAAATGTTATTCTATTATAAAATAATAAAAATCTTTGTGGGGCGACATAAAACCTAGACATTTAACAATTTTTGCAGCTTATTATTTTTGTGACATTACCATTCAAAAGTTTAAGGTAAGTAAAACATTTAGCAAATAATACATTTTAAAATAAATATTCAACAAGGAGGCATTAAATTGTTCTAAAGTGACAGTAAATGCATTTAGAATGTTACAAAAGCTTTCTATTTCAAATAAATGCTGTTATTTATATTTTTACTTTCTATTTATCAAGAATCCAAAAAAAGGGTAGCACAGTTTCCACAAAAATAGGAAGCAGTGCAATTATTTATAAAATTAATAATGATAATAAAAAGTGACTCTTCAACATCAAATCAGCATATTAGAATGATTTCTGAAGGATCATGTGACACTGAAGACTGATGTAATGATGCTGAAAATTCAGCTTTTCCATCACAGGAATAAATTACATGTTAAAATATATTCACATAAAAAGCTGTTATTTTCAATTAAAATAATATTTAACAATATTACAGTATCAACTAAACGCAGCCTTAGTTAAAAAAACAACCCCAAAAGCTGAACGGTAGTACACAAGTAACATTGTACACTGTATTATTTCATAAACATTGAGTCACATTGAGTTTAGTGAAATATGAGCAAACATCTAGTTTAAGTTTGGACTGCACTCAGATCTCCTCCTCCTGTTGTAGGACACGGGGAAGCTGCGTATCGGCACATACACCGGAGAGCTTCAGCATGGGACAGTGTATTCAGGAGGTACTCCCATGTTCTCCTCATCATGATCTGTTCACTCGGCTTGCATGAAGGCACTCCTTTGGCTTATGTCAGTTATCCTTGTTCAACCCCTTTCTTAGGATCTTCTGATATTGTCTGTGATTTGCTGGATGTTAGGGGGAAAGACATCCTCTATGTGGGGGATCACATCTTTGGCGATATCCTCAAGTCAAAGAAACGTCAAGGCTGGAAGACTTTCCTGGTGGTTCCTGAGCTTGTGAAGGAGCTGCACGTGTGGGCCGACAAAGCCAGTGAGTGTGTGCTCATCTAATAAAACAATATTTCTTTATTTGGTAAAGGATGGATAAAAATACTGTCTTCTGTCTTTTTAAAGGTATGTTTGAGGAGTTAAAACATCTTGACATCTTCCTTGCAGAATTATATCAGTGAGTATGACTTCATCTCACACTGCAGTCACCAAGTGCAATACTTGACATGATCGATAGATGGCGCTAGAGCACTGTTCTTAGTTTATATTAATTCGATTTTTATTTTTATTATAGATTATATATTATATCGGCTTTCATTTTATAATATTTCCAGATTTTTCACGTATTTTGTCTCTTTACGAACTTTTTTTCCTGGGTATTTATGGACAGAAAAACCCTGAAACGCACACAAACAAACATCAACATCAAATGAACGTCTCGGCTGACCTCTCATTCTATCCCATCAGGCATTTAGACATTGGAAGTCAAGAGTGCCCAGATATTAGTGCGATTCAGAACAGGATAAAGGTGAGCTCTGGGGATCATCTCATACTTTGCTGTGATGTTTTCACATCGGATTTGTTCGTCTTCATGCAAAATATGCTGACTTTTGTGTTTATACCAGAGAAACTCTATAGGCATCTCTTAAAGTTCTAGAACTGTTATTGTAAGGTTGTTCATTTGTGTTTCAGATGGTGACGTACGGCATGGATCTGTGCTATGGGAAAATGGGCAGTCTTTTACGCTGTGGTTCCACAAAAACCCTCTTTGCCAGTCAGTTACTGCGCTATGCGGATATATACTCTACCTCCTGCCTCAACCTCCTAAACTACCCCTTCAGCTACCTCTTCAGAGCCCCTCTTGTCCTGGTAAGCTTGTCCTGGCTAACTAGACTGGAATATAATTGTTTTGTATTAATTATAAATATGAATATTTAACATATATATATATTTCAAATCTGTAAATATCATGAACAGGTGCTGGTGTTTTATGAATGTTTTTTGCTTTTAATGCAGCTGCCACATGAGGCCGCTGTGGAGTCTCAGACTAAAGAGCAGATGGCAGAGCTGTCGGAGCACATGCTCAAAACCACCAACATCAAGGTTTGAATGGCACATTCACTTTCATTTCTCATTCCGTTATATATTTTTATGTATTCTTAATGTATTACACCTAAGCATCAATTATTATTTTACCAAGTTTTGTTTTAAATTGATGTTTTTTTCCCCCCTTTTCTAAATATTAAAGCGATTTACATTATCATTGCATCTTTCGCACACAGCGGCAATGTGAGTGTGACAGCAGTGACTGTGGACGAGATGATAATTGTGCCCGAAATAACCCGGCTGCATCTACAGAGACATGAGGAATGATATGTTTTCTTAACTGCTGTAAATATTAACTTTTTATTTAGTGTGTATGTTTCACTTTTACAGTTTCCATTCCTGCCTTAAAACTGTGTATTGATACACAGCGCTTGTGTGGCTGATTTGCAGTATTAGCTCGAGTAATATTCCACTTCTGGCAGATAATTGTGATTAAACGGAATTTGCCAAGTTTTTTTGTGATGTCATGTGAAGTTAAAAGCGTTTGTGTTGTTATTTGTAAAGCAAGAGTAAAATCTTTATTTAACCATTTTATAAAACTTTTATATTCTGTGTATTTAATTAAGACCTTTGATAGAAGTATTTAGTCTTTTGCATGTCAGTCAATGCATTAAACTGGTTTGCAGGATTTTGAGGTCTCAATGGTCAAATGTTTTTTTTTTGCATTTGTCTATCATATCTCCTCACACGTGATTGATTCCTATACAATAATGCAGGGATGTGCATATAATAACAAATTAGTAACTTTAAAATTGTTTCTATGTTTTGCTATTTATGCAGTTACTATTTTTCATAAGCATATTGAAATGAAATAAAGTGCTTTATTTTAGTCTTCTTCTGTTGTCATTTATTTCTAACTTAATTGAACTCATAAGACTAGCATGTGTAAAGGTTCATTTTCAGTTGTATTTAGTTGAACTATAGTAGTTGGTTCCTGCAGCCTTTTAAAAGCTTGTCAAAGCCCTTTGATTTCACACATAGACCATAGAGGATAAGGAACTGTATTAAAACGCCAAATTTATAAAAAAAATAAAATAAAAAACAGGTGATTAAAATGGCAAGGAAAAAAACTTTTAATCTATGACGTGTAAATTAATCAACAAACGGACATCTTCAGGAAAATCCGTAAAATGGCGGCAAAGACTATAGTGTGTGCACTCGACTTGAACGGAGACCTATCCTTTTATGATAATCAGCTTCTGTTAGAGCATAATTGGAAAATTAGATCGTTTATCTTGACTTTGTATAAAAAGGAAAACAGCTCTTTTATTATATACCGCTACTGTGATCGTACAGTAAGATCTCGCGCTAATTTGTCTTTATTTCCGTTGCGTCAACCAATTTTAACCTGAGAGAGAGGAACGATAACCTGCCTAAAAGTATCTTTTTTTCCAAGGACCATAAAACAATATTATAAATTACCAAATTAACAACATTTATTACCAGATATCGACACGTACAATGATTATCATAAAAGGCAGCCCATGTAAAGGTATGTTGCTCCTACTGTGTAAATCAAGCGTTAGAACTCAAGGAATAGCGTGTTATTTAAACTCGAAACGAATTTTTAAAATTTACATAAAGGCCTATGTGTAAATCCCACTTTGTACTTTGTAATGGCCAGGAAAACAAAGCCTATGGCACGTTCCACGAACACAGCACGCGAGGCATTAGAGGAAAAAATATGTGATTTTGTTGTGAGAACTGGGCTATTAGATATGTTTGTTAAACTATTATTGCTTAACTTTAACCTTACAGGCAAAGCTGTCCATTAAAAAAATGGTGATTTTGGCCTGTCTTGACCTTCATGACTGGATCGAACACTAACATAAAAACAAACATCATTTAGACAATAAATTCATTACAGTACAATCTTTTGTTTAGGCCTATTAGAAAATAAATTTAGCACACCGTTAATGGATGATTTTACTTAGAAAAAAAAGAATGCTTCTTAATGAAGTAACATTATATAGCAGGAAGTAAATATCTGGATTTCCTCAAACTGCAGTGTGGACTGCATTTGTCAAGCTCAACCATTCAGCCTTATTATTGCAAGGAAAATTACAAAAACTAATATTTTTCTTTAAATTACACAAGTCGGTCATTACCTACAAAGCAACATTTGGTAGGAGACTATTTCAAGAAAACTTTAAATTTAACTTGACATGAGGCTAATGATATTTACACTTGATTTTTAAAGGGGTCATATGATGCGATTTCAATTTTTCCTTTCTCTTTGGAGTGTTACAAGCTCTTGGTGCATAAAGAAGATCTGTAAAGTTGCAAAGACTAAAGTCTCAAATCCAAAGAGATATTCTTTATAAAAGTTAAGAGTTAACCACGCCTACCTAAAACGGCTCGTTCTAACACGCCCCCACATGTCTACGTCACTATCTGGGAAGATTTGCATAATGCCGCCCAAACGTTCACGCAAAGAAAGGCGGCATAACTTTTATTCTCGCTGTAGTATTGTTGCTGCCGCCATGTCGTGAAGGCGCTGTGTGCTTCGTTGTGAAAGCGAAACTACTTTGTTTGGTCTTCCAAAAGAGGACGATATCTGCTTCGTCATGCCTAGAGCTGATCCGTGC